TTAATGTAGAATATGCTCGGAATAGTTGTTTCTAATACCTTAATAGCTCTGGTTTATGTCAGTAATTACATGAAAGGTTAATCTTTAAATCACCAGCATTTCCTAAATTCCTAATCAACTTCATGCTTGGAAAGGAACTGGCATAAATGCTCAATTTGTTAATATTAGACTGGATTGAGCAGGTCAAGGAAAAGTATAACCTTGGTGCCTAATGGTAAATTGAACACAGCAAAAATATCTCAGATCTGTTTGTCATTAGAGCTGTAAATGTGAAAGCTGACTATGAGTGTAGATATAATTAGCAGGAGAATCCGCAGTAGCTCAAGATCACCCATCCTCCTAGAAGAGGGTTTCTTTAAAAAAAAAAAAAAAAAAAAAAAAGGTAGAAAAGTCCGATTTTCTAGCAAGTCTGTGGTGAAGTGGCAGAGTGATGGATGAGGGGCACGTTGTGCTGCCAGGGAACAGGGATGTGGCAGAGGAAATGATGAGGCTGCGGGCACGTGTGTTTGGGGAAGCGTGTCCGACTGCGCCTCCCTCCATGCCCTGCTGGGAAAGGCAGGGCCACAGAGAGATGCTGGGCATCTTCCTTAAATCCCTGCTGTGGTCCTTGCCACAGCCCGAACGTGGGAGGGGAAGGCACGGAAAAAATCTCATTTCCCATGTGTGCACAGTGCCCCCCTTGCCTTCTCACCAGCTCTCATCTTCCCTTTCATCCCGTCCCTTCACCCCTTCCTTTTCTCTCTGCTGCTGAATGGAGCTATTTAGTGTTGTACCCTCCTTTGCAGAAGCTGTTTCATCCCTGCTTGCACAGTTTTTAAAACTGCTTTCTCCACCCACCCTCAGTCTTGGTTTTTCATCTGTGCTACTTCTTTAGGTTAACCATCTTTACAAAAGGAAAAGGCAGAGGAATCCAGTAACACCCTGATTTGGTTGCCGTTACTCCAGTCTTTCCTCTTATCTTTTGTCTCCTCTTAATTTCATTATTATCACTGCTATTATTATTATGATAGCACTAGAAATGAGCTTCCTCATTAAACACTCCCTTTTTGCCATTCTGAATACCACTGTAGAAGCTGGAGGGGGGAGGAAGGGGGACTCAGAGAGTCCTTTTGCTGTTAATGCAGAATGAGACTCACACAAGGAACAAATGCAGTCCATCTCAAAAGCAAATGAGGGTTGTTTTTTTTCTTTTTTTTTTTTTTTTATCAGAGCTGAAGAAAATGATCAAATAGACTTGTTTCAACTACCTCTCAATGCCTTAGCCATGAAAACATACAGAATATATTAAAGCATACAAAAATATCCTTAGGGATAGTTCATGATCTTCCTGTGGCACAGGTGTGCAGGGGGATGTGTCAGCCTGGTACAGAGCATCCTTGCTGTGACCACAAGGAATGGCTCATCCCTCGGGCTCACCCCTGCAGCACCCAGACATGGCAAAGGAGGGAATTGGCAGCTTTAACAGAATTTCTTTGTATTTTATATTTTCAGGCCAGAAACAGAATGTGGTACATTAGCATTGATTCTGTGGTTTCATACCATTTTTTTTTTTAAATTAGTACAGAAAGAAAGGAAAAAAGAGGCAGAAAGGAAAATAAATCATCCCTTATATACATTCAAAGCATACACAGCAACAGTTCCTTCAGCACTGGGTTCACTGAGAGTGGGTATTGATGTTAGCAGCAAGAGAATGCATATTAGAGATCTCTAACACTGGTACTGTTAACCAGCTTCAGGAAAGGTAGTGCTTTTGCTTGCCTTTCACCCTGCCTTGAGTGCAAAAAGACAGTTAAATATAAAAAAATAATGTTAATTACCTAACTATAAAAGGGAGATTAGTCCTATTAAGTAGAACATCAAAAAGGGAATATTTACAATATTTCCCTTCCTTTGATATTCCCCAAGCATTTCACGGACAAAACACTGTTCACAACTCACCCCAAAAGCATCTTTTTATTTTTTTCTGTTTTTTCTTCCTTTTGGTTTTGGAGCCATTTAATAGACCAGAATAAGGGCATCCAAAGAGAATGAATAACTTGTCTCTGGGCAGTTGTTGAACATGAAATTTGGAAGAAAGAATTAGGGAAAATTTGTCCCTGCAGTTGCTCTAAATGCAGTACAAATATAATAACTCTCATATACACCAATGCAAGTAGCCTGGAGCAGGATGAATAACTGGATTTGCAATAGCTGGATTGAAATGACATACAGGCTCTTTTATTTCTTTATTACCCACATATATTTCATGTAAACTTTCAGCCTGGATGTGGGCACCCTGTGGAGTGCCTTCATGCCATGTAACAACAGTGACACCCTCTTTCCCTCCAATAAATATTCAGAGGGTGTCAAGATCTCCAGAAATGCTCTGGGGATCACCAGGAAGTTGTCTCTAGAAGGGATTACCCTTAGAAAAGATTTCTGCTTGAGGATTTTGAAATACATCCTTTAATAAGTGCTGTGCTCTCCATGGAGGTATCCATCCATCATCCTGCTCAGGGTGGCAAGTCATTGGTGGGCATCACCTCTCTCCAGGAGACGTGGCAACAGGCAAAAACCCCAAATCAGCTCTCACTCAAGAAGTCACTGCACCTTCAAAGAAAAATGCTTTGTTCAGTTTGCTTGGGCTGTCAATGCGAGATGCATGGAGCACAGAGGTGAATAAATTCCAAAGGCAGAATTGCAAACGTAGCTGGAGGTTGCTAACACCAATAAACAGCAGGGGTAACTCCAGAGGGGTGCAATCACTCGTGTGTTTCAAATACAACCCACAAAAATTGCTAAAAATACACCAAAATACAACCACGGGATGATTGTTTGTTGGTATCAGGCTTGTCTCAGGTTCACAGGGGCAAAACCATGACTGCACCAACACACTTCCTGATAGCAACAGGGGGTCATTATCAAAATAAAGCCACTTCAGATTTCATTTTACCATATGCAGACAGTATTTTAACAACCTTGGTTGATTTTGGAAGCTTCCTGGCAAGTGGCTGTAACCAAGTGCTGCCTGGGGGCTTGGGGAGCACATAGCCCAGTCCAAAGTTAAAGAGCCAATTTTTCACAGTTAAATTCCCTATTGATTTCAGAGAAGGGTTTAATGGGGAAAATAAATATAGCTGGGTCCTCAGTTAGCATGACATAAGGTACTTTTGCTTCAAATACGGTCAGGAACCCAAAGAGACAAGGGGCTCTGTACTTCCCCTCTGCCCCTCCTGTTAGGTTTGTACATGGACACTCAACCCCTCAGGTCACTTGGGAGTTTCAGGATGGATCAGGCCCTTGTGGGCTTGAGGCACAGAGAGAGAAATGTGCATTTGTTTAAAGAGAGAAAAGCCTGGGTTTAACAGTACTTGCTTGTTTGAAAGCTGTGGGTGAATTTGCAGTGGCTTTAGGAAAAAAAAAAAAAGCAGTTGATTTTCATTAAATTTTCTGTGAATCTGTCCTCTCCCAGTACATAATCTCATTACTTTCACAGACCACATTATAGTCTCAATGAGTAAAAATTTTGATTAACAGGCTATTTTCATTTTTTATAATACACAGTATGAGATGTACCAAGTAGAGGAAAATAAGTTCTGACTCCTTAAAAATAGTTTAAGTCAGAGAAAAAATACAAAATTCAATCTCTACACATAAAATTTACGGCTAAAACCTGATATGCAAGAAAACAAATTATTTCTTCTGTGCTTGTTTTCTGCTTTATAAGCTTGCTGTACCCTTGTAAGAGTAAGTAGCACTTTAATGCAATGAAAAAGGAAAAAAAAAAACCTGTGTTACATTAAAATACATGTAAGATTTTGGAATTGTTCCTCTCTTGGTGGTAACCTGAGGACAGAGAAACATGTATCAAGCATAGAAATGTCACCCAGTTCATTATCCATAACATTTTATTTGCATGTAATGCTGTAGGAAGAAAATTTCAAGATGCTCTGCCTGATGTTATAAAAGTCCCTCATCGTCAATTACTGTGAGAGGAGCTGCTGAAAAGATCAATCGCTTGCTTGTTCACATTCTGGAATGAAAAATCCAAAATACAAGGAAAGGAAGCCTTTATTTAAGGGCAGTCAGATAAAACAGCTGTGGGATTCTACATCATGAAATCACTGCTTATATCCATCAATGCCATTTTTCAGTCTTTAGTAAGGAGGGTGCATCTGCCTTCAGCCTCTGCAGAGGTTTTGGGGTTGTTTTGTTAGTGAAGGCTGGTGCTGAAAGGGAGGGACACGAGCTGGCCTTTGCCAGCACTTTGCTACAGGACCCAGAAGGGTGCACTGAAAACTCTCTGTCCTACCCTGACAGTGGTTTTGCTCTTGAGTTTCACTACTGAGACCCAAATAATTTCTCTTCTCTGTTCACCATGGCACCACAGGGCACAGGATCTTTGCTCTTGGCATAGCTCAAAATAAGCATAAAAGTGGGAAATGCAAGTAAAAGCCCTTAAATTTAGCATTGGTTTTTTTTTTTTTTAATATATATATTAAAGAAAATTCTGATGAGTACATTTTGGCAGTGTTTCACTTGTTTGGCTTTTGTTGGTTGGTTTTTTTTTGTTTTTTTTTTTTTTTAAGCGAGTCTTTGCAATCTGATCAGTTTTGATACAAAATACTTTTAGGGGTTATAATGCAGCTTTTATGGATCTTACAGCAACCAACAAGTGAGCTGTACTTAAAAATCCTCAGAAATCCTGTCCTAGGGACAGGGTCAAAACTTCAGCCTTTCTGAGGTGCTCTGGCTCCTTGTTGTACCGATGTCCAGTTACAGGTAGCACATTAACAAAAATAGAATTCCAGTGTCATGCTTCATATCTTCAGCAACATGATGTACGTGAATGTGTGCTAATTACAATGGGAAGCCACCTGGGTAATTTTAAGCTTTCTATTTTACGTGGCTTCTTTGCTCCTTGACTTTTCAACACTCAGCATGAAGAGAGAGAGGTTAAACTGTTGCATTTTGTATACAGGGAACCATTCATGTAATATACACCAGTCTGTAAAAACTGTAAATGCTATTTTTTTTTATTTTAAACAGTTTTCTTAGTTTACAAAAGATCAATAATTGGTACCTTTTTTACACTCTCAGATTCCTGAATATTGACAGATCTTCAAAGGGAGTATTAGCATATGAAACCTTAAGATTGGCTGTCCTGAAGGTTTTTAAGACACGATAAAGCTAAAATATCAAGTCTCTCGGACAGCCCCTCTTAAACAATTTGGGCAGGGGTGCACGTCAGAAATCACCAGCAAAGCCCAGCACCCCCCCCACCCTGTGCCACTGTCTGCCTGCACGCTGTTATTTGGTTGCACACTGTTTAAATCCCAAAGGAAAATCACACCTCGCATTCCCTCGCTGGCTGCTGGTGACAGGAGCAAGATCCGTACTCATTAATGATCACCAGGGCTCCCTCAATGTGGTTGGGTTTGTAATCAACATAATACTCCTGGGCTGACATGGCAGCCATTTGGTGCATGGTCTGTTTTTGCTTCTGCTTCCTGCGCTGTGTGACAAAGCACTGTCTTAGTTGCCTTAAGCCGGCCGGGAAGCACTTCCAGGAGACGTACAACACCAAAACCACGATGAGGAAGGAAAAAATCAGTGCCATGGTGCCCGTCACCACCTTGTGAATCTGCACGGCGTTCTCGGAGTTCTCGCCGGGCATGGTGATGGTGACGGCGTACGTGGTCCGGTCCTCGTCGCCGTCGGGCGCGTCGTAGGTGGCGGTGGCCGAGCCATAGCCCGGCGTCTGGTCGCTGTTGTTGGTCACCGGGGAGAAGGTGTTGACGCTCGTGGGGTCGGCGTTGTCCTCGCACAAGTGAAAGGCGTACACAGCATCCAAAACATCCTCTCCCTGGGCGTACTCGGGGGTGGCACAGAGCAGGTTGCTGTCGTAGCGACCCTGGAAGTTGCTCAGCCAGGAGGCCAGGGCGCAGACGTTCCGGCTGCAATCCCAGGCGTTGGCGGAGAGGCTGATGCTCGTGAGGGACTTCCAGGAGTCGAGGACTCGGGAGTCGATGTAGGTCAGCCGGTTGGAGTCCAGCTGCAGGGATTTGAGATGAGGTACACTTTCGAAAACGTGAGGTTCGATGTATTCGATTTCGTTGCCGGAGAGATCCATCTTTTCGAGTTGCCATATCCAGTCCAAAGTGTTAACTACGATGGTAACTTTATTCCTTCGCAAGCAGAGGGAGTGCAGGGAGATGAGCCTGGGAAAATGGGCTAAATTCACTTTCACCAAGTCATTGTGCTCGAGGTGCAGCTCAGTGAGTTTGAACAAGCCTGCAAAAGAGTTTCGAGCCAGGCTCTTTAACTGATTGTATCCTATGTCTAGAAACTTCAGGCTGCGACAGTCCTGAAAAATTCTCACTGGCACGAACTTGATGGCGTTCGACCGCATGTGCAAAGTTGTCAGTTTTCTCAGCCCGTGGAACAGGTCAGGCTCCAAAGACTGTAGGTTGTTGTATGATAAATCCACACTGCGCAAGTTTGGCATGGGGCGGAAAGTGGTGTTGGGCAGTTGGGTTATTTTGTTGGAACTCAGGGTGAGCTCTTTAACTCGCCGCAATTTTTGAAAGGCATTCCCCTCCACTGAGCAAATGTGATTGTGATCCAGATAGAGCCACGTGAGCTGCATTAACCCTGTGAACTGTCCATCATGCAGCTCTGAAAGGCTGTTGTACCGCAGAGACAAGCCCATCATGCCCGACAGGTTGCGAGGCATCTCTGTGAGATTCAGTGATTCACAGTACAAAAGCCTGCCCTCACACCGACAGAGCTGTGGACACCCACTATTCACAGCTGGAAGCATTTTAGAAAAGATACCCAGCGTACACAATATCAACCCCGGGGGCTTCCTCAGCAGCCAGTTTAAACAGAGACCAATAAGAAGGAAATCCATTAGCAAGAATATTTCCAAATAGGCTTGAGAATGTCCATTGAATCTTTTCAAATTCTACATCATATTTTATTTAAGGGAGAGAAAAAAAAAAAAAAAAAAAAAGGCAAACCAACGAAACAAAGCCCGAAAACCAAAGCAAAACAGCAAACAGAACAAACACAGAGGCAAATATTTCACTTTACAGCATGCAGGAGCTGTGCAGCATTAAAGTTCACAGACATTCAAAGGTAAAATGATAGTGATTTTGTTCATGTTAAATGCTGCAGCAAAGGAAAAAAAAAAATCTTTCTTCATGAAAGAATTTAATTAAAAAGTGTCTTACCCACCCTTTTCCAGAGAGTGACAACCTCCATTCAGTTGCTTCCTTTGTGTTTGGACTAATTATATGCAGAGCTAAAAAAGACCCCTCTGTGCTACAAATTCAGTCCCTTTCAATGTTGTGCAAGGCTGGCAAGCTCACAATGTCTCACTTCGCTTCTGCTCAACGAGCGAAAGGCTTGTCCAGCTAGCTTTTGAGCTGCCTCCTAGGACCTGCAAGTTTCAGAACTATGTACATGAGCTTGATCTTCTCCTTCTCCCTCTGTCCTTTCCTCTGCAGTTAACACTGTGGCGTGAAAAAAACTCCAAACTCTTTACTAACGACTCCACAGGATTTGTCAATCTGTTTAATGTCCATCATTTGCAAGGACCATGGACCGGCACCACCTTTACTCCAGAGAGAGGTTACCATTCATTCACTGACCGGCTAAGGGTCGCTTTATTTCCCATTCTTTGTTCGCTTTGCTTGTTAGGTGATGCTTAGAGCAGAGAGAGACAGCAAGAATCCCTTCCCTTCAGCTGAGCAGTATGTTGCTAGAGCATGCAGAGGCACCCAGTGTTCACTGAGTGTCGTAAGCTGCTCATGATTGTACGCCTGCACTGTGCATCTCAGACATGGGCAGATTGAAAAGGGGTGGGCATAAAACCAACATCGGAGCGAACCAGGAAAGTAATATATGCTCTTTGATGAAATGGAAAATACTTTAAGCCTATCTCGCCATTTCTCAAACAGGCACGCACACACAGCCGCACAAATCATCAAAAGCGAGGCAGTGCTAAGTAGGAAGCTTGAGAATTAGGATTCTTTCTCTTTTTTTTTTTTTCTCGGATGCTTTTGTTTAAAGTCTGAATTTATAAGCTATTAGCCGGGAGAGGGAGAGACTCGATTACTTGGTTTGGGAAGGAATATGTAAACCAGTCTCCTTGGATTGCTTTTTCTCTCTAATTCTGATGATGAGATGTGCCTTTTGGTCTTCGGGTGGGGGATTGAGGGGTGTGTGGGGGGAAAATGTGTTTTATTTTCCTTCTGACATTGTCTAAATAGAGCATGATTTGAAATTCTGTGCATTCTTTCTCATAGAAATGCAGCCAGAGCTCTGCAAATAGGAGTATCTCATTTCATATAAGCTTTAATTACATTTGGTCTTTTTCCATCCTGCATATTTTGTGTGTTCAGCACATGCCTTTCCTAAAGGCTTTTTTTTTTTTTTTTTTTACTTTACCTTTTTCTTTGCAGTGTATGCTACGGCACACAGAACTCAAATTCTAGCAGCATAAAGATTACTGTGCTTTTTGAATAAGATCAATGCATAGGTTGCTGTGAGTGTGTCGGCAGCATGCAAAGAGGGGGTTTCAAACCCCATTAGTTAATAAGTTTTGCAGATTGTTCAGGTTTTTTTGTTTCGTGTACAAAAAAAAAAAAAAAAAATCTTTGCTGGGTAATTAATTTGCAGTCTTCATTCTCTATGGAAGAGGCATCGTCAATGAGCTCTGTAATTTTTACTGACTGAAAAATGTATGATACTTCTGTCAGGAAAACGCTGGCCATCTTTTCCTATTATGAAATAGAGTCTCAAGCCCGTGTGCTGGGGAGAGCAATCGGAGCTGGCAGCTCCCAATTCTGCATCAATACCCAGGGAAGAAGTTCCACACGGATTTAGGATACAAGGATTGCAGAGGACCCTGCCGATTTTAAGTGGACATCGGATGCAAAATGCTGGAGGGACAGGGCAAAACCATTGTTTTTGCTTTCTTTTCACAGCTGTGTTAATTGAAAAGAAATACCTTGTTTTGGAGGTGTCTGTTGCAGAGCTAAACATTGTGTTTGAGTGTGGCTGCTGTGAGTATGTGCTGGGAGAGATCAAGGAATGCAGTAATTTGATGCAGTAAAAGTTGCTTTGCAGAAGTCCTGGCAAACTTAAAGCTCTTGTGCATAAAAATAAAAATGTGTGAAGGAGATTCATTACTAATGGATTTGCCAGAAACAGTCTTAAATAAATTACAAATATAAACCTTTTAAATTGCAGTTGCAGAACCTGGGGATCAATGTGTTTTTATGCTCCCTGTTCAGTTTATTTACATTTTCCTGCTCTTCACAGCATTTCAGTGGTCTCAAAGCAAAAATGTGACGCTTTGATAGTATGTGAACCTCATCTATGTTTTAGCTTTTGGGCAGGAGAACTGAGGGTAGTTTTCCTCTCCCCAGATCATGCTGTTTTATTCAAAGCAGGCTGTTTATGCAAGTGTCCACTGGTTGCAGTACACCTTAATTCTATTTCTCAGTACACAAAAGCAGGAAGGAAAGCAGTGACAGAACTGACAGAAAAAGCATTGAAGCAGGAGAGACTGAAAAAAAACCCATTCAAGAATATATTCCAGATTGCCTTGATGAGTATTTTGGTGCAATTTGCAGGGGGAAAAAAATTAAAGGATGCCTTGAACTTAGCAGATACTGAAAAAAGCTTCAAAGCAATGAGGTTGTGTCCCTTAAAAATCTGCAACCCTACAAGTCTTCATGGGGGAAGCTTTAATGCCTTCTCCCATGTAAAAATTTGGGGGGAGGTCTTCAACAGTAGCCCTGAAAATTTTAATTATATCTTCAAGGAAAGCTACCATTTTCTGCAAATCAGATATGATGAGGATCACTTAGTTACCATTTAAATGCTATGTATAAAGATTTCTTCTAGTAGAGATGAAGCTCCCTGATACATCACTGAAGAGCTGTTTTTTTGGTTTTTTTCACTGCTTCTCCTTGTTATCACCTGGGATACAGCTTGGATCCCAACCAATGTGCCTCTTCCCACTCTGGCATATAATCCATTATCATTTGGTTTTCAAAGGCAGGAATTAGAGCAGACAGTAGCAAACCTATATGACAGCAGCTGGAAGACTGACAACCAGAATTAGGGACCCAGAATTAATGGCCCTAAGTGCACTCTCTCTGAGCTCTGACAGAGGGCTATTGAATAAGAAACTCTGCTCTTTTCCGAAATTTGGTTGTAAAAAAGAATCCAGGTAGACTTAAAATGAGAGACCTCAGTGTATGTTTGAGGCTGTGATGGTGAGGCACAGTAATGACCATATTCAAGAACTGGGGCATCTGAAATATCTTTTGTAAATTGGTGTCCTACTGTATTTTTGCAATGTACCCTTTTTGCAATCAAACCAGAAATCCACTTTGAAGATGATTGTAATGCAAAGGGCTTAATTTCCACTGTCTGAGCTGTTATCACAGCCAAACTGTTAAGTTTACACATTTTCTGAAGTTTCAAAGCCTCTGGCAAGTCTCTATAAATTAGCAGATTTAAATTAACTTTATTAAGTGTGCTGTTATAAAACATTTTAAGAATGGCAAACTAAGTTTGTATGTGTTTAAAGGAGCTTGATTAAATCAATATAAAGTAGGTTATAGAAGAACAGCATGAATAAAGTTTTAGAGAGTTTAGGTGGGAAGCTTCTTGTAGTTATGGCAAGGGCAATTCAGGGGCAGCAATGGTCAGATTTGTTCAAGCTGGAAAAGAAAAACACCTTTCAATGTATTTATTTCCTCTATAAAATTTTAATATTGTGTTCAGATTCATCATAGAATCATCAGAATTGGAAAAGACCTTTAAGATCATCCAGTCCAACTATTAAATGTCCCATATAATTTATCTGGCCTCAGAATCATTTAATTCTTGCTAATCCCTTGGATATTCCTTGGCTGTTTGTGCCTGGATATTTACCTTACCCTAATTTGCAATCCAGTACAGATGGGGCTGGGACAGAGTGCATAAGATCAGAATGTGGCTGCTGATGTCTAACTCTTCATATACACATCTTTTAATAAGTCCTCCACCAAAATACAAAAATGCAAAACAACCTATTAAATAGTGAGTGTACTTCTTCCTTTTGGCATTTTCTGAGTGGTTTCTATCAGAATAATAAAAAGTGTTGCTCTTAGTGATGATTTTAATTTCCTTTCATGAATGGAAGGACTCAAACCTTGATCTTTGGTAGTCTTTAATTTTCAAGTGTGCTGAACCATGGCATTTTGTATAAAGGAAACATTTAAAGACAGAAAAGGAGGAAAAAAGATATGACCTAAGGTAAAGCAAACTGCATCTGTTATTTCTCTTGTATTTCTGTCTTGGTCATCCTGAACTGCCCCTTCTGTATAAAATTTAGGATTTCAGCTGGTAAGAAGTCCAGTTCTATAGCATATCTGTTTTAGTAGATATAAAAATGAGTAACATTATACAAGATTTTGACCAAAATAGTCCTGGTGGCTCCAGATGTCATTAAATCCTTACAGTACCTGACAGACACATTGGATTTGTGGCAACCTTTAAATCATAGGTATTCTTATGTAAATTACTTTACTGGTTTTGACAAGGTGATACATTTTTTTCTGTCTTGTTTTAGATATTCCATCCTCCTCAACCACATTCACCTGCAGGTGATCATGCATAGCTCTATAAAGTCACTGACAGAAGAGACCCATATGCAGAATTGTCAGTGCAGTGCAGAAATGTCAGATTTTTGGACAACATATCCAGAGTATGATGAAGTAACTCTGTCCTCCGTTCATGACTGGTAGACTACTTGAATAAGCTAAAAAATTACTGACTCTCTTAAGTATCTGTGAAAATACCTTTGGATTTCTGGACATGATGACAAAACTTTTGACAGTGTCACTGGTT